ATGATAAAGTCAAAATGAAATATTTTTACTTTCCTGAAATGAGCTTGGTGTTTTGACATGATCGGAATAAACATTTTGACACTGCTGAAACAAGAAAGTCAAAGTGATTCTGCTAGACTCCTTCCTGGAGAAAATGGCAGCAAAATCAACAAGTTCCCAGGGAAAGATTTGATTTCGATAAACCTCTGTTTTCTGATGGAAAACCGTTCCAGACAATGTTTTTCTGCAGCTCGGTTCAGGCAGTAGGTTTCCAAGAGAGACCTGGGTCACCCACTTGCCGGGCACCTGACTCATTCCCTGGAGCCGCTGCTGGGAGAGAGGGAGGAAGGAAAGAAGGGAAGGAGGAAGGAAAGGAGAAAGGGAGGGAGGGAGGGAGGGAGGGAAAGCTGCCTCCATCCCGCCTGGGAAAGGGTGGGATGAGGAGGGATGGACTCACCATGTGCACCATGGGCTTAGATTCTCCAGTGTCTCATAAGGGCTGATGCTGAACACTCAGTCTGCACAAGGGGCTCAGGCAGCCCAACAGCAGCGGGGTTTGGCCCCTCCTTCATGTCCCTGTTCATGCTCACGCCATGTCAAACCAAGCACACCAGCAGGGCTAAATTTTTATACTTTTGCTTGGGGAAATTTCAAGAACAAATGTTTTCAGTGGAAAACCAAAATCGTTGCATTTTGGAAGTTTTGCTGGAGTTTCGCTGAAAACACAAGCAGACACTTTAGGAATAGGCTCATGTACCTGAAAGCTTCATTTTTTGTGTGATATGAGTTGGGTGGAAAATCTCTGATCGACCTTTGGTGTACACTGTAGGTATTAAATTTTACTCCAGAGCGGCTTTTGGGGGAATATCTGCTCTTTAATAATAGTAATGCTTAATAATAGTTTTCAATGGTAATTCTTGGTAGCAATTCCATGTGTTTCAATATACTTTTGCTCGATAGAAAGCGGTGTATGTCATGCAACAAGTTCATCAACCCTCTAATCTCACCTTCGGGCATAGCTCCCGTGGCCAAACATGAAGGCAGTAAAATCTCTCCAGCCCAGCACACTATTCCCTCTCTCCAAAAAAAAAGGCTGCATAATCTCCTCTGGGGTCAGCATCCCCCTGACAGCTCAGTGACTGGTTGCAGTGCCCCCAGGCAGAGTCCCCCATCACCTAAGGGGGGACAGATTTGGCAAGAGACCTTAGTGGGATGTGGTGGGCTCCTAGCCCTGGTGTCCCACAGGTGAGGCACAAAACCCTTGCCAGACACTTATTTTTTGTGTGGATGGATCACTACGCCTTTAGCATCCACAAGGGTGTCAGCGGGGCTGCGTCAATCCTGATGGGAAGCATTTACCAGCAGCTGAGCCTCTTGGGGGAAACTCCTCCACCTCCCAGGTCCATGTGGGGGACTGTGCTCCACGACCTGAGTCTCTGCTTTGCCCCCTGCCCTGCCATGGCCTTGGTGACCTGTAGGAAATCACCAACACTGGCCACCTCCCCCATTGTCACCCCTTGAAGGTGCTGTTGGTGGCCAGTGCGGAGCTGAGCAAAAGGCCACCTCAGCCCCTTCCGGCCACCACGCTGGGGGCTTCCCAACGTCCCTGCTGGGCTTCACCCTGCACGATGGCATCCCCGCTGGGGGCTTGGTTAGCCCTGAATTTGCAAGTTTGATTCCTCAGACTGAGATCAGTCACAGCTCCTTCAATGGCTTCAACCTCTATTTGCATTTAGAGGCGAAAACATTCCTCTCGGAGGTTGCATGCTAATGCAGCATCCAGGAATCCTGCATGATTGCCTCCTAGTTAGTCTCATCTGCCTGAGTGAGCTGAAAACTGTTAAACACATTGAGTGTGTCAGACCAGATATTATCAGAAATAAGACTACCTTTCGCTGGCACCCACGGCTTGCAGACACACAGCAAAGAGTTATTTAAATCTTTTCCAGCTGTCTCCCATGTTTCCAGAGAGGCTCAGCTCTGACAGGTCTTTTAACCCTTCCCTTCCGTTATGTGATGGTATTTTGGTTTGCTCTTTCCTCTCCTGGGCTTCAGGAGCCTCCGCTGGCCTTGCCCAGCTCCCCGTGGTCCACTCACCCCGGTGGGCTCCTCCCAGCAGCATCAGAGATGTCTCCCACATCCCTTCACCTTGTTCGTGCACCCAGCAGCCGCCCTGCCCGGAGCTGGGGCTGGCAGCCCCCGGTACCCTCACCCAGCCCATTCCCCTCCAGTTTTGGACCCCTCCAAACTTCTCTCCGCTCTTCCCATTTCAGTGTTGAACCCCAAAGCCTCCGGGCCGCCAGCCCGGTCCCTTCCCAGCCCGCCTTGGCGCTCTCCCCACCGCCGCCTCTTCCTCGGCGCGGGGCTGCCTTCCTGCAGCAGGCTCTGCCAGCGCTGCTTCCCCAGCCTGCCTTGGAGCAGGAGCAGGAATCGAGAGCGAAACCCCAGTTTGCACGGCCAGCGTGTTTGAGGAGGGCCATCTGGCCGGGCTGGCGGTCCAAGCTGAATTTGCTGGATGGTTTTGAAGGTCACTGAGCAGGGAATGAACGCACTTCCATATTTTCCCATATAAATACCTGCGTCTCCAAGGGAGAGAGGGGAGCGTACACCCGCAGGAAGGGGCTGTGCCCACCCTGCCTGGGGAAAGAGGGGGTGGGCAGGACCCCGGGGCAAAGAAACAGGAGCACACACACAGATGGGCACGCACACACACGTGCACACAGACGTTTGCTGACACACCCTGTGTGCGTTCCTGTGTGCACTTACATGTGGGCCACACAGACTCATGTACACATCTGTCCACACTCGTGTACCTGCACACACACACACACACGTGCATGTATGTGCACCACGCAAACACACACGTGCACCATGCAAACACACGTGTGACCATGCAAACATGCACACCCACCAGCTTAGAGACCCTGGTACTTCCAGCTGGGACAGACTCCATCCCCCAGCCAGGTGGCTCTGGCTGCCCTGGGCCATGCTGCTCTGGCAGCAGAGCTGGGTCCCCTTGTGCCAATGGGCTCCAGAGAGCCCCTTGTGTCCCCACAGCAGCCAGGAAGAGGACAGGAACAACCCAAGATCCCCAAGACCACTTGCTCCAAGCCTTCCACAGCCACCCAGCCTTGTCCTGCGCTGCCCAGAGCAGGATCCAACACCCAGCTGCAGTGCTCAGGACCTTCTCACAGCCATGCTGACCACCGCATGGGGACAGCCAGCCCCGTACCATCCTGACAGGACCAAAGCTCTCTGCTGCTGTCCTGGAGAGCCCTGGGAAAGCGCTCTGGGCTCCTGATGTCCTTGGGTGCCACCCTGGTGCCCACACCTGATGCCACAGAGCCCAGCCATATCTCCTTGCACCCGGGAGAGCAGATGCTCGGGGCAGGCAGCTGGATCATCGGCCAGGAATGAAGCATCCTTTGCGTGCGTGGGGCAGGGAGCCAGTGACTGGGGGTGGGGGGAGTGGAGAAGGCAATGCTGCTGGTCACCATGGCAGGAGAACATGTTTCTCATCATTGTGTGACACGAGGTATTGGGGGGACAGTATGGGGACGGGCACGGGTCATCGTCCAGCCCGCTCAGAGCATCTCCTGGTACAGCCGGCTGACATGTTGCTGGGCTTCGCTGCCAGCACCACCCTGCAGGAGGGGGTTACCTCCACCCAGGGCACAGACCTGGCTCTCACAGCCACTGTGAGGGTCTCAGCCCCAGGCCCAGCTGGGTCCTGCCTCCCCACCATCACAGGGAGCTGAGAACATCGCTGTGCCAGTCTGCACTGCCCCGGGGAAGTTGTGAGGGAGATTTGCCAGGGCCACGGCAGCTCCGGGTCCCTGCACTGGGTCCGTGCCCACTCCCACACACACCCCCAGCCCTGGCTCCCCTGGGCAGCCCTGCTTTGGGTGCAGGGAGAGCAGGAATGTCCCAGCAGGAGAGGGCACCCATGGGAGAGCCCATGCAGAGGTGAAGATGCAGCTGGTGATGCTGCACCTCCAGGAAAGCCTGCAGAGGAGACGAGGCTGGGCTGGGGGATCACAGGAGGGGCAGATGCTGGAGGGCTGGGTGTCTCCCAGTGCCTCGGGACCCTCGGCCGTGCCCGGGTGAGGTGGAGGGCTGTGCTCCCTGGCAGGGCCACACACCCCTTCCCCAACAGCCCTGCATCTCTGCCGCTCCAGCCAGGGCTGGCAGCACGGGACCGACTCCCCGGTGGATGTCCACAAAGTGGGGGGGTCCCCAGGGCTGCCTATGGCAGGAGAACATGTTTCTCATCATTGTGTGACACGAGGTATTGGGGGGACAGTATGGGGACGGGCACGGGTCATCGTCCAGCCCGCTCAGAGCATCTCCTGGTACAGCCGGCTGACATGTTGCTGGGCTTCGCTGCCAGCACCACCCTGCAGGAGGGGGGTTACCTCCACCCAGGGCACAGACCTGGCTCTCACAGCCACTGTGAGGGTCTCACCCCGTCACAGCCCCAGGCCCAGCTGGGTCCTGCCTCCCCACCATCACAGGGAGCTGAGAACATCGCTGTGCCAGTCTGCACTGCCCCGGGGAAGTTGTGAGGGAGATTTGCCAGGGCCACGGCAGCTCCGGGTCCCTGCACTGGGTCCGTGCCCACTCCCACACACACCCCCAGCCCTGGCTCCCCTGGGCAGCCCTGCTTTGGGTGCAGGGAGAGCAGGAATGTCCCAGCAGGAGAGGGCACCCATGGGAGAGCCCATGCAGAGGTGAAGATGCAGCTGGTGATGCTGCACCTCCAGGAAAGCCTGCAGAGGAGACGAGGCTGGGCTGGGGGATCACAGGAGGGGCAGATGCTGGAGGGCTGGGTGTCTCCCAGTGCCTCGGGACCCTCGGCCGTGCCCGGGTGAGGTGGAGGGCTGTGCTCCCTGGCAGGGCCACACACCCCTTCCCCAACAGCCCTGCATCTCTGATGCTCCAGCCAGGGCTGGCAGCACGGGACCGACTCCCCGGTGGATGTCCACAAAGTGGGGGGGTCCCCAGGGCTGCCTGCTGCTCACCTAACGGGCCCGAGTCCTGCACCCACAGCCTGGGCACCCCAGCCTTGTCCCGCCACGTCTGCTTGGTCCCCATTGGGCTTTTCCCTGGGAGCATCTCCTGGTACAGCCGGCTGACATGTTGCTGGGCTTCGCTGCCAGCACCACCCTGCAGGAGGGGGGTTACCTCCACCCAGGGCACAGACCTGGCTCTCACAGCCACTGTGAGGGTCTCACCCCGTCACAGCCCCAGGCCCAGCTGGGTCCTGCCTCCCCACCATCACAGGGAGCTGAGAACATCGCTGTGCCAGTCTGCACTGCCCCGGGGAAGTTGTGAGGGAGATTTGCCAGGGCCACGGCAGCTCCGGGTCCCTGCACTGGGTCCGTGCCCACTCCCACACACACCCCCAGCCCTGGCTCCCCTGGGCAGCCCTGCTTTGGGTGCAGGGAGAGCAGGAATGTCCCAGCAGGAGAGGGCACCCATAGGAGAGCCCATCCAGCGGTGAAGATGCAGCTGGTGATGCCGCACCTCCAGGAAAGCCTGCAGAGGAGACGAGGCTGGGCTGGGGGATCACAGGAGGGGCAGATGCTGGAGGGCTGGGTGTCTCCCAGTGCCTCGGGACCCTCGGCCATGCCCGGGTGAGGTGGAGGGCTGTGCTCCCTGGCAGGGCCACACACCCCTTCCCCAACAGCCCTGCATCTCTGATGCTCCAGCCAGGGCTGGCAGCACGGGACCAACTGCCCGGTGGATGTCCACAAAGTGGGGGGGTCCCCAGGGCTGCCTGCTGCTCACCTAACGGGCCCGAGTCCTGCACCCACAGCCTGGGCACCCCAGCCTTGTCCCGCCACGTCTGCTTGGTCCCCATTGGGCTTTTCCCTGGGGCTGCACCCCCCTTTTCCCTGTCAGATGGGCCGCCTGTTTGTAACTTGGGAGTTTCTCAACCACGGCCTACAGCGCCCAGGAAGCCCAGCCAGAGCTTTAGCAGACAGACATGGTGCTGGGAGGGACTTCCCTCCCCTAAACCATGCACCAGACCTGAGGTTCATGCTGGGGGACATCCCCCACCCGCCAAAGCCCCCAACAGGGAGGGTCAAGGCCCCCCCAACCAAGGTGGGAGGGAGGCAGGATGCCGGCCACGGCCAGCCCCGTCTGGAGCCCGGGGAGCATCCCGAGGGAAAGCAGCCGGTGCGAGGCGGGAGGAGGGTGAGGCCGATGGGGTCGGCACAGGACCCGCTCCCCGCTCCCCGCTGCGCCGTGCCAGAGCCTTGCCGGGAAGCCGGAGGCGGGTGCTGGCGTCTCCCCCAGCCTCACCCCACACCGGGTGGGCAGCCCTCCCTCCCGCTCCAGCCGCCCAGCTCGGCCCCAACAGAACCCCCAACCAGCTGCAAACCCCACGGCGAGGGACTCGGAGACACCCCAGGGCAAGGACGCCAAAAAAATATGCCTCCATCCTGTGGAAAATTACAGATGCTTTATTTTTTTTTAAAGGGTTAGGTGATGTGTTTTGGGTTTTGTTTTTCTTTTTTGCTCTGTTAGTGCAGGTATTTGTCAGAGGATATTTTTAAACGAGAGCAGAGCTCATTTGAAGAGGATAACCAGCCCAGCATCTGAACGGCCTGTGCTCCAGCATTCCTGCGGCTCGGGCCAGCGGGGACCTGCTGACCCGGCCAGGGAGGTCAGACGGGAGAGGGCGTGGCGGT